TCCTCCCAAGACCTCTGGTGGCAGGCAAGACAAGGGCTGCTCCAAGTCATTGACAGGCAGCTCCACGGGAAGCCCTGTCATCTGTTGAGGATGGAGGAAGACAACTGAGGGAACAGGAGAAAATGAGGACCGGTGGTGGTGGATACTCTGCTCTTCTCTGACGGAAGAGGGTGTGACAGCCGAGGTTGAGATCTTGGGCCCTTCTGCCTAGCAAACTGGTATAGAGAATCTACTGGATCAGTGGAGGAGGGATTATCACCCTCACCCATGGTCCCAACTGACTGAGTTTTCCAAAGTCTTACCCACTATAATGATGGCATCTGGCCAGGATTTTTCCAGGTTGATATGTGTGCATATTTATTTACTATAAATAAGAAAGGAGCCTGAAACTTTAGATATAATTTTGAGGTTGGTCCCTCTTAAGGAAGACATGATTTTGTAATCATGAACACAAAAATTAGGTCAAGAGCCTTGGAAAGGGCTTGTGTAGTGAAGAATTCCTGGGATTTTAAATTTTACCTACTTCTAGGTCAAACTGGAGTTGATGAAAAGTAAGCATTTCCTGCCCCTGAGGCGGGATGCAAAGCTGTCCCACTTGAGACTTTTGATGGGGAAGGGAGGTGGGGAAGGAGGGTTCCAACCTGTGGAAAATCCACACCTCCTCTGGAAATCCTGACTCTTTGGAGACTCTTGATGGAATTGAATGAAGAGGGGGATGTGGAGAGGAGGATGTGGTGGGGCAAGAAGGGCAAAAGGGGGGCTGGGTCAGAGCAAGGAAGGCTTTTTTGGTCTTGCCAAGGACTGGAGGCTCTGTCCTGGAAATAGCTGCTCTCTATGGAGGAGCTTAGGTGGCATAAAGAGATGGTTACAGCTGCCCTGAGAGCTAATGAGATGAGAGACCCTCCTCCTCTTACCCTTTAGGTTTTTGTGTTTATTGTTGTTGTTGTGTTGTTGTTGAGTTGGAACTGACCCATATCTCAGCCTCTAGTGAATTTTCAAAGGCAGTTAATTGCATAGGAGGAGATTGCACATCTTTCTCCCGCAGAGCAGCTGGTGGCCTCAAACCATGTGCCTTCTCAGGATTGTAGTGCAGCTTCTTGCCACTAAGCCACCAGAGCTGGGGGGCAATAATATCCAACTTTTAGGACTCTTCTCTCTGTCTCTGTCTCTCTCTCATTTGATTAGATGATGTGCATGCCTACTCACTAGATTGCAGAGTCAAGTGCTGAAAAAGCCACTTCCCCCCTGATTTGGTTTCCCAAATTTCCCCACAGGGGCCCATTCCTGCTTAGGAACATCATGTGCGCAGGTGAGTCATATCTACCATTCCCATGGGGAGGGAGGCCCAGGTGATGGGGGTCGGATAGGGTGGAAGGATCAAGGAGTTGACCAGGTCGATTGCTGAGTTGAAGCCAGGTGGTTTTTTGAAAGTTGGTTTACATACAATAATTAATATACACTGTGTTTCATTCGTGTACACTGACTAGGCTTTTGATGATTGCTTCTGGTCTTCAGCATAACCTGCTTCACCCAGCACAGGTCAGAGGTTAAGAGCTGTGGGTAGCCCTGACAATGCTATTTTGGAAGTCTAGCATCATGGCTATCTGAAGAGGAGTTCTGAAAACTTAGGGTTTGTCTTTGACTAGCAACATCCAATCTTCCAAGGGTCAGGATTCCTCATTGGTAGAACATAGATTCCCAAGACAAGCATGGCTACTGGCTCGCAACAGGGTAGCCCACTAGACGGCTATTTTTTTTTTAATTTACCTTACCTTGGAAGAGGGTCTAGTATTTTTAGACTTTCTGCTGTGTACCTGGCCCTGTAAATGTGCTGAGATGCCACAAGGACCAGGACATACACAATTGTCATCATGGAACTCATCTCTTGAAGAGACTAGACCATAAAGTGAATCACTGAGATAAAGTTCAAATATTTTTCTATGAGTAAGATTGGCAAAGGATATTTGGAAGAAGTCCAAATGAAGATAATTTGTGAGGACTTTCATTTAAAAGAGAGTATAGAGTAGTAGTAGACAGACAATAACTAATAAGTGATCAGAACCAGAGGGTACAGAGTGGTCAAAGGCAGGGAGTGGTGGTGGTGTGCTTCAAATCAACTACTACTCATAGTGATCTTATAGACAGATCGGAACCAAGCCCTATTATGTGCCATCCTCAGGATCTCTGACGCTCTTCAGCCCACTGTTATAGTTACTAGGTCAATTCATCTCTTTGAGGGGTTTCCTCTCTTTCCCTGACTTTCCCAGCATGTGTTTTTTCTGAGGACTAGCCTTTCTTGACAATATGCTCTAAGTATACAAGATCAAGTTTCACCATCCTTGCCTCTAAGGAGCATCCTGGTGGCACTTTCTCCAAGAGATATTTGTTTGTTCTTTTTGGCAGTCCAGGGGATATGCAATACTCTTCTCCAACACCATCCTTCAAAAGCATCGAGTCTTCTGTCATCCTTATTCACTGTCCAACTTTCAGATACACATGAAACAATTGAAAATATCGTGACTTGGATCAGGCTGAGAAAAAGTAGAAAATGGTCAAAGGGTTCGAACAAAGAACACTGCTGAGTTGATTCTGACTCCTGGCACCTCTGCTCGAAGTCTTAATGGGAGCAGATTGCCTCATCTTTCTCCCATTGGGCAACTAGTAGATTCAAACCACATGCTCTTGGTAACACAGCCAATAGGTAACCAGGATCCCTGGTAGCAAAATGCTTAATATATAGGATTGGTAACAAGTTATGGTGTCACCAGGACTATGGAATGCTTAAAGACACAGTGTTTTTGTTAGGTACCATTGAGTTGGTTTCAACTCATAGCAACCCCACAGATAAGAGAACAAAAGCCTGCCTTATCTGTCACTACCCTCAGTCTCTGCTACACTTAATGGCACTTTTGTAGCCACTTTGTCAGTTATCTCCTTGAGAGCTACCCTCTCTTTCAGTGATCCTCTACTTCCCTGACCATGGAATCTTTCTCCAGGAACTGACCTCTCACGACAGCATGCCCAACATACATGAGAGGAAGTCTCATGATCCTTGCTTCAAGAATTACTCTACTTACACTTCTCCTAAGACAAGTTTGTTGAGTTTATTAAAAAATACTAATATTTTTTCACCAACATAGTTCAAAGGCATCAATTCTCCTTTGGTTTTCCTTATTCACTGTCCAGCTTTCATATGCACATAAGATGATGGAAAATATGATGACTTGGGTCATGCACACCTTAGTCTTTAAAGTCACAGTCTTACTCTGTAGTACTTTAAGGAAATCATGCAACATATTTTCTCATTGCATTATATGGTTCGATTTCTTGACCGTTGCTTCTGTGGGTGTTGATTGTGGGTCCAATAAAATGGAAATCTTGACAACTTTAATTTTACTCCATTTATCATGATATTGCTTATTTGTCCAGTTGTGAGGACTTTTGTTTTCTTGATGTGGAGGTGTAATCCATTCTGAAGGCTGGAATCTGATCTCCTTCACTAAGTGCTTCAAGTCTGCGACTTTCTGCAAGTAAGATTGTGTCATCTGCATAATATAGGTTGTTATCGAATCTTCCTCCTACCATGATGCTATATTCTTCTTCATATAGTCCAGGGTTGGTTTATTATTATTATTAATATTATTATTTGCTCAGCATGCAGATTAGATATGGAGAAAGGATAATAAGCTTGATGCACTCCTTTCCTGATTTTAAACTATGCAGTGTTCTTTGTTCTATTTGAATGACTGACTGCCTCTTGGTCTATGTGCAGGTTCCACATGAGCACAATTAGTTGCTTTGTAATGTTAATATTTTTTACAGTGTTATCCATAATCTATTAAGATCAAACAGTCAAATTTGTTTTCACTAGTCAGTAAGTACAATTAAGCAAATTTCTGATATTCTTGGTGTTAGCCAAGATCTTTCAGCAACCCAGCTTGAATTTCCATGCACTGCCCTAGCCATTTAAAAATTATTTTCAGCAAAATTTCTTTTATGTATCATATTAATGAGTTGGAAAAATAGTAATGCTATTGATCGATAGTCTCAGAATTCTCTTGAATCACCTTTCTTTGGAATGAGTACAGATACAGATCTCTTCCAGTCAGTCAGGTGGCCAGGTAGCCAACTTCCAAATTTCTTGAGCGCATCCAGCTGTTAACCAATATTCTTTTAATTCATGGAATTTTATTTTTCACAATACCTTCAGCACTTTGGACTTTGTCCTTTATGACCTGCTACCTCCTGAAATGGCTGAGTGTCAATCAATTATTTTGGGTACAGTACCAGTATATTCTTTCCATTTTCTTTTTATATTCCTGCATCATTCAGCATTTTCCCTGTGGTTATTTTTTTGTACCATCGAGTCAGAACTGATCCATAGCTGACCCTTCAGTGGGTTTTCAGACACTTTAATTGCATGGAAGGAGATGATTGCCTATCCTTCTCCTGCAGAGCAGCTGGTGGCCTCGAATCACTTGCCTTCAGGATTACAGTTCAGCTTCTTGCCACTAGGCCACCAAAGTAGAATCCTTCAATATCACAATTTAGAGAAAGAGTAGGGAGGGTCAAAGATAGGGAGTAGAGGGAGGTCAAAGACAGAGTAAGAATTTTGCAGAAACAGAAAGTGTTTGTGATCAAAGACAGGGAACAGAGAGAAATATAAGTTTAACCAGGATTAAGGATCATGCATGAGGCTTTAGCAAGTAGAGAGTAGGGGAGAGCAGGAAGTAGGGTGGTCAAAACGGAAACTCATTGTCTGGAATCTAGAAAGCAAAGGGGAAAGCTATGTATGAGGAGACCAGAAAGTTGGGCTAGGAATGGCCACCCATGGGCGACAGCAAACCGCAAGGTCTTCATCCTAAGGGGAGCTGTGGAAACATTTTAACAAGATGTGACAAGGTCCCGCTTGCTTTTCCTCTCAGGAACACTACAGGAAGTTCGACGGTCGACTGTTGGAGAGAAGGAGACAGTGGTGTTGACGGGCTGCCAGCCTGGGCATGGCCCTGAGCCCAGGGGCTAGTCTGACTCCTAGTGAAAACCCCAAGATGACACCAAATCTCAACTCCAGTGAGGCCTGTGATTTAGGCTCTGCTGTTGTCTCTGTGCCCAGCCCAGACGTGGCCCTTGTTCCTATTGCAAATCCACCCTTGAGCTCTAGCTTGCTTCTTGTTCCAGCTCTTAACCCAGTTTTGAGTCCCATCTCAAGGGAAGCTCTGGACCTGGAGTCTGGTAACACTTCCAGACCGGAGGATACTAGAATCCTGGTTCCCATATCCCTCCAAACTACTAGTTCTCAGTCTACTGAGGATCTGGCCTCGAATTTGAATCACATCTCAAATTCCAATTCCTGCGGCATCCTATGTCCAACCTCAAATCTCATTTTGAGCCCTGACTCCACAGACACCCCTGACCTGGGCTCCGGCAATCATTCTGAGCCAAATTCTGAGGAGACCTGTTCTCCACCAACTGAGGTTTTTGATTTGGGTCAGAGGAACTCCAATCCTTCCAGGCCTGAATCAAACTCATTTATAAGGACCCATTCTAAAGAAGCCCTAGTTATGGGCCACAGTATCTCCAGGCCAAGCTCAAAGGAGCTGCTTATTCCAGCCTTGAACAATTCCCTCAATCCTGACTCAGAAAATGTCACTAAGTTGGATCTGGATGCTACTTCAGGGACTCCCACCCCAGACACAAGTGATAACATCACTTTGACTTCCAGTAACATCTCTGTGGTTGCTTCTAAAAAAGCCTTAGGTGCAACCTGGAACACAGGCTCCCAGAACACCCTCAATGCACTTTCAAATGACAACCCCAGATGTCAGGGCAACATAAGCTTCACTAGGTCTTCACGTGTGACCCTGAATCCCAGATCCACTGACAGCATCAGCCTGCGTTCCAGCTCTCAGGGGCCCAACTCCGCCCTCTCTCCGTCTTCATGCATGACTCTGATCCTGGGCTCCAATGAGTCCCTGAGCATGAGCTCCAGCCTCATCTTCAGCGACACCTCCACCTTGACGCTGAGCAGTCAGCAGGAGTATTCTGAGGACAACAGTGTTTGCAACATGACCCTAAATGGAAATCTGGATGAGGACATCTGGAGTGAGGGGGCCAGCGTCAATGTGGACAAGTGTCCCCTGAGTTTCCGTACTGCTGATGCCATGGACAAGGACACCACAGTCTTCCAAAATATTCCTCAAGGTAAGTTGTTATGCAGGTTTTCAGAGGTAGTAAATTGCATGGGAGGAAACTGCCCATTTTTCTCCCATTGAGCAGCTGATGGATTTGTACCACGTCCCTTTGTGTTGGTAGCACAACTCTACCACTAGGCCACCAGAGCTCCCTGAGTGAGTAAAGCAGAGAGAAACGCCTCAGAAAGTTACTAACGGATAGGAAGCTGGCATTCACACAGTGGGACAGGGAGGGGAAAGATACATATAGTATACTCAAACCCGCCAAATCCCACTGCTCTGGGGCTGATCCCTACTCACAGTGACCCTGTACGACAGACTAGAATACTTCACAGGGTTTCTAAGGATGTAAATGCATACGGAAGCACACTATCACTTCTTTTTCCCATGGAGGGGCTGAGGGTTCAAAGCACGTACTGACCTTTAAGTTACAACCAAGTGTTTTGACCACTGCACCACGAGAAGACCTTATAGTACACCCAGTGTGCCTTGTAATAACTAGTTTATTTTTAATTTTACACAAAAGATCTAGTATTTGGCATCTGCTAGCTCTATGGCCATGTCAAGGAAATACTTCCAGGAAATAATAATAATAGCACTTCCTTTCTGCCTATAGTCAAAAGTCTGTTAACTAAATCTACCTTCTAGTCAAGTTTGCTTTCTTGATGAATTTTAGACCTGGGCTTCTCTGGGCTTCTTCAAGGCTCTGCTCACCTTGGAGATCTTGGTCTTATTTAGAGCCCACGCCTCACTCCAGACTTGCTATTTACAGTTGTATACATTACAATGAGGGTTTACTTGTTGTTGTTGTGAACGGTGGAGTGGGAACTGACCCAGAGCTGACCCTCGGGCTGGTCTCCGAGGCAGTTAATCACATGGGAGGAGAATGCTCATCCGTCTCTGGAGGAGCAGCTGGCAGCCTCGAACCATGTGCCTTTGGGATTACAGTGATTACAGCACAGCTTGCCTATGAATGATTGTCTGAAAACCCCCCAATGAGATTTACAAACTTTCACTCAAAATAGATGGGGGTGGGGTGGGAGAAAGAGTCCTGTGAATTACCCCATCAGTGTTTGACGCTGCAAACACCTCTTGGACTGTTTTTGTTTGTTCATGTAACCATTCCATTTTCAGATGTTCAAAACATGACCATTACTGTGCAATATGGTTTCATTGCTTTTGCAGTGCAAAAGTATATCTTAAAACCTCTCAAAATTGACTTACTTCATACGCATTTTAGAATAAGATTACCTTAAAAACTTAGTTTTTTAAGAATAAGTTTATCTTAAAAACTTAGTTCTTCAAGACTAGCATTTTTATTGGAATGTTACTAATTTATATGTTTATTCAAATTTTCCATTAGAAAGTCTATAGCTTTTATTAAAACTAAAAAGAATTCTTTACAAAGTATCTACTGATAAGTTAGTTCCGAGAAACTAGATTTTTGTTGCTATCATAAATTATATTTTCTAATACAATTCCTCTTTTGTGCTGCTGATGGAGAGGAACTTCAGTAAGCTCATCTTTTTCATTTTAACAGCTTTAAACCATCTCCACTGCTGTCAAGTCAAATCTGACTCAGCGAGCCTATAGAACAGAATAGGAGGGCCAAAGTAGGGTTTCCAAAGCTGTAAATCTTTATGGAAGATTTTGTCTTTCTTCCAGGGAGTGGCTGGTGGGTTTGTTACCAACATTTTAGTTGCCGGTCAACATGCCACCAAGGCTTCTTTCTCTCTCTCTCTCAATATTATTGAAATTTGAGTGAAAATTTACAAAGCTAATTACTTTTGTACTCAACCATTCACATATTTTATGTTATTTGTTACATTAGTCACAATACCCACAAAAGTAACTACATGCTCATTTCTGTGAATTCTTCCCTCTCGCCCTTTCCCGCTTTGTGGCTGGCAAATACTGTCTTCTTATCTCTTGCCGTTGATGATTTGAAGGAATGCATGCCTCCCTGATGTTATGCTTATCTTACAGACCTGTCTATTGTTAGGTGTAAGATAGGGCAAGAGACAAGTCTTTTGCTCCTAAGCTCACTAGGAGTCATCTTGATGGCACAAACAGCTGCATTGTTTGGCTTGAGAGTCAGTGTTGTTGATATTCATAGCATGACTAAGGGCTCTAGAGTCTTAGGGATTCTCTTGGATGAGCAAGCCTGGCTGTTTTTACGGGGTTTAGTTTTGATCCACTTTCCCCATCCACTCTATCCAGTCGTTCTACTGGGATCCATTTTGGAGTGGTCAGCAGTGGTAGCAGGGCACCATTTAGTCCCTCTGGTCTCAGGGTTGTTGTGATCGAGGTCTCCTGCTCCCTTAGTTTTTGGACCAATTGTTTCTATGCATCTTTCTTTCTCCCCTCCCCATCCCTCCTCCTCCCACAGTGGCTCAGCAGTAAAAGTTGCATTGTCAACCCACAGGCAGACAGTCTGAATCCACCAACTGATCTGAGAAACAAAGATAAGCAATCTCCTCCCATGTGGTTTGTTGTCATTGTTGTTGTTATGTGTCCTCGAATCACCTGCCATGTGATTTGCTGCCTCTGAAACCACTGAAGGGGCAGCAATGAGTCAGTTTCATTTCCACCATTTATAACACCACCACCACCAACAACAAATTCTTTGTTCTAGTCAATGTGGGCAGGAATTGCATCTTAGATGGCAAAGCTTGCGATCTTCTAGAACTTTAGTCTCTGCTCACCAAGGTAGGATGTAGAAAATGTTTTTTGTGGACTAGGTTATGCCAATTGGCCTTTATGAGCCCTCCAGTCCCTGGTCTCCAGACCCAGGGGTCAGCAACTCATTTCTTCAGGGTGATTGATTATATTTAAGAAGTTTACTGCCTGTTGCCTTTGCAGCTTGTACTAATGTGAGTGTAAACATATCACCTGCCAAATCTGTGTTTGATCATGGCATAGTCCCGTTCACCTAGCCATTTCTGTTCACCTTGAAACTGTTTCCTTATATATCTGCTTGTAGATGAATGTTTCTTATTACCGGTATTGCAGAATTGTGTATGTAATAGCAAATACCTTTGTTGGCTCTATTTTCTGACTGTATTTTTCTGTCTCTTCATTTTCTTTAACAATCTTAGGCCCCTTAGCCAATATCACATTTCTCTTCACTCATTTTAATGTGTCTACTGATTTTTCTCCTCCCCTCTCCCTCTCCGCACACCCATAGTAATCATCCAAGACTGTTTCTTTCATGCATAAACATTTCTTAGCTTTTTAAAAATTAGTTAGCAAGTCAGTTATTGCTGCAAAGTTGGAACTGACTCACAGTTGACCCTCCAATGGGTTTTCTTTTGAAATAGAGACATGCAATATTTCTCCTTTTGAGACTGACTTATTTCACTCAGCATAACATCCTCTAGATTTATTCCTGTCATGTGATGTTTCCAGAATTCATCATTATTCTTTAGTGTTGCATTGCTATTATAAAGAATGCTGTAATGAAAATGAATGCACCAAAAAAAAGAGAAAGAAAATGAATGCACATTTATCTGTTTGTGTCTTAGCTTGACTGTCTTCCTTCCTTCCTTCCTTCCTTCCTTCCTTCCTTCCTTCCTTCCATCTTTAACAAACAGAAATTTATTGTCTTACAGTCTAGGAGGCCAGGAGTCCAAAGTCAGGGTGCCAGTTCTAGGGGAAGACTCTCCTGTGTTGGCTATGGAGGCGGTCTTTGTTTCTTTCAACAACCATAGTCCTGATACTCCCTGGAAACCTCCTTGTGTTCTTGTCTTCCCTGGTGTCAGAGAGCCTCCTCAGGGAAAGAGGCCAAACCCAAAAAGACGCACTTCATTCCTGGTCATCATTTCTTGGTGGTTCTGATCCCCTCTACACCTCTGTATCCCACCATAGTTTTTATTTCTCCTTCTGTGCAATTAATTGCCTCTGAAAACCTGCCGGAGGGTCGGCTATGGGTTAGTTCCAACTTGGTCGCACAACAACAATAGATATCTAGTAGTGGGATTGCTGGAACAAATGGTATTTCTATTTCCAACTTTGTAAGGAAGTACCACACTAGTTTCCACAGTGGTTACACCACTTTACAATTTATGAGAATTTCAACTTCTCTTGAACTTTACTACTGTTTCACTGGTGTTTTGATTTGTAGTTCTCTAATAACTAATGGAGAAAGGATACATCCTCGATGCAATCCTTTCAGGATTTTGAACCATGGAGTGTTCCCTTGCTCTGTTTGGACAACAGCTTCCTGGACTAAATTTAGGTTTCACACGAGCACAATCAAGTGTTCTAGGATTTTCATTCTTCTTTATGTTACCCATAATTTGTTGTAATCACACATCATATGCCTTTGCATAGTTGGTAAAACACAAGTAGACATCTTCCTAGTACTCTAAGATCCATTTGACATCAGCAACAATATCCCTGATGCCACAGCCTTGTCTAAATCCGGCGTGTATCTCTGTCACTTCTTTCTCGATGTACCATTCTAGCCAACTTTGGGTAATCTCAGCAAGATTCTTTTCTATTCATATGCTAAATGAATCGTTTGAGAAGCTGGACTTTATGAAGAAAGTGGCATCAAGCTCAGAGAGAAGACTCATCAACAATCTATGTTATAATGACACAAACATGCTGTCCCAGCAACTCTGGTGGCCTAGTGACAAGAAGATGCACTGCAATCCCAGAGGTGCACGGTTCGAATCCACCAGATGCTCTGCTGGAGAAGGTGGGACAATTTCATCCTGTACCAGTCAGATCCGATTTGACGGTACACACACACACACACACACACACACACACACACACTTAAAAGCAAACAAAAAAACCCCACAACCATGCTGTCCAAAAGCGAGAAGGACTTTAAGTGCTATCTACAGAATAAAAAGGACTATAGACTTCAATATGACTATATTAATATTAAGAAAACAAAAAATCCTCACCACATAGACTAATAGGGTTTGTATTTAGGTCCTTGATGCATTCTGAGTCAGTTTTTGTATATGGTGTGAGGTACGGTTCTTGCCAGCATCGTTC